TTAGCTCCTAGCTGCGTTGTTCATCATGTCACCTTGTTTGCTGGGAGTTCATTAGCCTATTTTGTTCTAGTTTTGTACTTTGGTGATCGTACATCATTGTTAGCTGTTGTCCAAAGGGCTCTAGTTAAGCTAACGTTAACTTCTGGAGCTTAGCTTCATTAACTTATCTGTAATGGCAGAGATAACAAAGGTTGGCAAACGTTATGCTGAATGATTCAGTGTAAATACTGTAGCACCAAACTAATGGAGAGACACTTTTGGTAAAGATGGTAAAAAGGCCGTTATCCTTTTCTCATATTCTGAGCCAAAAACCTTAACTTCAGTGGCACTTTAACTTGTTGTCTTTGATGGCGACGGCAACGAGATGCAGTTCACAAGCGTACACTGTGACCTGTAAATTTTGGCTTGTAATTTAAGCTTTTCATCGACCTTCTCAACAATAAAATGATGAATATATCCCTCCAGTGCGTAGTTTAGGCCCTTTTGGTTACTTCTCAATAGCTATGTTTCCATCCAAAAGTGATTCAAATCATTGGGAAATACGCATTAAAAGAAATACGAATCCTGTGTGTTTCCATTAAATGTACGGACTTTGGTGAAATCTATGAACTCGCGCAAGTTTTCCGCAGAACCGGAAACAAAACAATTCTCACATTCTTCTTCTTCTACGTTTTCTGGCGGTTGGCAACCAGCTCGTAAATGCATTACCGCCTTCCCGACCCGGAGTGTGGATATCACCATGGAGAGAAATGCACTACGTCAGACTTAATTCGAACATAACTGTTTCCATCCCCCGTTTTGTGAATCAACATTTTTTCGAATCAACCAAAACCCGGCTAAAGCGAGCATATTTTAGTTTGTGCGAATCAGGGGATTTTAATTTGAATTTTGGCGTTTCCATCATAATTTTCTGATGCAATACTTCTAGATGCGCATCTAAACAGGCTGATGGAAACATGGCTACTGACATCTGATTGTTATGTCTCCAAAAATCATCAGTTGCCTCCTGCGAAAAGCTGTGTACTGTGACACCTGCCGTAGCGCCGGTCACTGAATGTGGATAGTTTGTCTGAGTGAGTGGAGGGGGGTGTGGTTTAGCCATAGGTCAATTAACTTAGTGTCAGTTTTAAATTCTTACTTTACATCAGCATGTTGTCTAATACTCTAAAACCTTTTTAATAGCCCAGGCTATTATTTGTTTAAATCACTGAAATCAACAGGCCTATATTTGGAACAGGTCTTTAGTTACTTTTACACATAACTGTTGCTCAGTAAAGATGGGGAACACAATCAAGCTGTTTATTTAAACCAGTATGAATATGACAAGTATAAAAATTAGAAATCAGATAATATATCAATATTGAATCATTAATTTTATCTAGCTGCAGCTCAGATAAAAATGTGCATGTTGGAAAAAACTAATGAAAAATACACATGCTCAGTCTTTTAACACAGACATCTAACTTTTATCTCAAATACCTTGTTGTCAGTTTTAAATTCTTACCCTCTAACAACACGTCTAAAAAAAAGAGGAGGCTCCATTGACAGGTCACTCTTCACAGACACATGGCTGGGTTCAGGTCCAGGAGAGGCTGGTCTCTGATGGTTCCTGTAACAAAATCAGCTCAGATAAATATGCATTTTGGCGAAAAACTGATATGTGACATAAGTTTAATCTTGTAACACAGACAACAACTAACTTTATCTCAAATGCCTCTTTACCAGTCCTCAATTCTTACCCTCCATCAGCACGTTGTCTAAAAAAAAGAGGAGGCTCCATTGACCGGTCACTCTTCACAGACACATGGCTGGGTTCAGGTCCAGGAGAGGCTGGTCTCTGATGGATCCTGTCATAAAACAACACACAAAAATGTACATGTAGGAGAAATGCTGATGAAAAACATGTCCAATCTTGTAACACAGACAACTAGTATGTTTTTGTCACAAAGGCTTTTTTGTCCATTTTTAATCCTTACTTTACATCAGCAGATTGTCTAAAAAAAAGAGGAAGCTCCATTGACCAGTCACTCTTAACAGACAAACAGCTGGGTTCAGGTCCAGGTTCAGGTTCTGACTCAGATCCAGTAGAGTCTGGGCTGCGCGTCTGCTCTGGGCTATAAAACAACACACACACAACTTTAAGTGTAAGTAATGATGGTGGAGTAATCCGAGTGCTCAGCTCTGACATGAAGAAGACTCATGGACAGTTAGAGTTCCTCATCTCACCTCTGAGCTTTGGTCCGGCTGTCATGGTCCCCACGCAGAGTGGTTTTAGAGGGACGGACTCCCTCCTCTGGTTCCTCACACTGATCCATAGCAGAGTCCACACCTTCACACAAACACAACAACCTGCTGGGAGAGATCACACATTATTTATCATTATTCCTGTCAGCCACATGACAAACACAGAATTCTGATTACAGGAAACATTTCAAGCTTTGAGGGGCTAGTGTCAAAGCCACTATATAGTAGGTCTGAGGGAGACTGAGTATGTCCCAACACATACTGTCAAATGCAAATACCATGCCAAAAATACCAGGATGTTCTACTACATCTACATTTTGCAGTATGCAAGCCAACATGCTTTTCTGGCTATTCTGACCCACAATCCTCTGCACCGCAGACGATATGTCACATCAACAGATAGCAGCTTGACAGCACATTGACATCTGTTTGACGTCTGATGAACAGCTGTGAGAAGTCGCAATGACAGATGACAGTGCATTCAAGTAACTGATGACCAGTCGGATAGCAATAATAGGAATACACACATCGCAAAGAAACAACAGCAAAGCTCTTGGGGTTGATCTTTGTCTCTGGCGAACGCAATAAGTGGCGTTTGTTTTCTCTCCAAGGTAACGGATCTAAGCAAGAGGGTCAAAATTCATGGCGTAATGTTATGAGACATTATGAGACAGTACTATGTCCTGATTGTGTGCCGACTACATGCAACAGTACGTACTTTTTAAGGACAGCTGTAGTACATACTAAAGGTAAAAAGAAAAAGTATCAGATTCAGAAGGCACCCTGAGTCTTGATTTGAATATTGATCCCAGCATCAACAGGAAATCATAACTTAGGTCATTGCGGACATTTTTTTTACAAACCAAACACAATCAATCAGTTAATAGAGAAAATGATCATCGGATTAATTGATAATGAAAATAATTAGTAGTTATGGTCCTGCATCAAATCAAATCGGCTCCATCTCGACCAGCTACAGCAGTAAAATGCTGCTTACACATGAATGCATCAGTATCATTATTTAATGATATAACATGTAATGGAGGCGGAATGGTGGTGCAGTGACTAGCACTCTCGGCTCACAGCAAGAGGGTTCCTGGTTCAATCCCACAAGGGAGCCCTACTGTGCAGAGTTTGCATGTTCTCCCTGTGTCAGCGTGGGTTTCCTCCAGGTGCTCCAGCTTCCTCCCACAGTCCAAAGACATGCAGGTTAATTAGTGACTCTAAATTGTCCGTAGGTGTGAATGTGAGTGTGAATGGTTGTCTGTCTCTATGTGTCAGCCCTGTGATAGTCTGGTGACCTGTCCAGGGTGAACCCTGCTGGATGGATAGATGGATAACATATAATAATATAACACTTGTTGGCTCTTACTTCCCCCTAAGATGTCTTGTGTTCTCAGTCTCAGAGGGCTTGCTGTTGCTTGTGTCCCTGTAATCGAAGCCTCCAGGAATGACAGACTCATCTTTGAGGCCTGAGCAAAGGTCAATCTTCACTCACGTTACAGGTCCAACCCTACACACGTGTTCTGGGCAGTGGCGTAAGGTAGTTACGACTGGCCCCAGTGCAACTACACTGCTTGCACTGTCTATATTTATGCTCCTGGTTCTGGAGAAGCCCTCTGTTTTCAGCCCCCAGAGAAGAAGGTCTGATGGTTTTTACTTTGGTTTCTGGTATTCTACTTATGCCCCCTATGATTCCTTTTCATCTCTGAAACTCTCTTAATTTTACAAAATGCTGATCCTTTGCAGTTTAAAGGATTCACAGATGACCCAACTCAGGTAGACAGGCAGTTCTCATGAAATGGTGAGTCTATACAATCTTAAAACACAGCAAGGCTGTAGTGCTCGAGCCCAGTCTCGCTCTGAGTGTAAAAATGATATGAGTGGTTGAAAGACTAGCAACGTGCTACACAAATGTAAGTCCGAGTCCTGGCTGCTGATTCGGGATCAGTTGTAGTTACGTTAGGGCCCTTTATGAGACCACAAAGCTTTGGATTTACTGGTCTATCTCCATCCCAACCCTCACCTATGGTCATGAGCTTTGGGTAGTGACCAAAAGAATGAGGTCATGGATACAAGCGGCCGATATGAGTTTCCTCTGTGGGGTGGCTGGGCTCAGCCTTAGAGATAGGGGGAGGAGCTCAGACATCTGGAGGGAGCTCGGAGTAGAGCAGCTCAGGATCCTCCAGGAGGAGCTGGAAAGCTTTTGCTGAGAGGGACTTCTAGGATGCTTTGCTTGGATGAATGGATAGATGGATGGATGCATAGATGGATACAGGCCCTTATTATAATGCTGCAGGGTCTCCTCTGTGTCAGGGCTGAGCTCCTCCTACCAATACTCAATTTTGTTTTTGTTCAACAAGCATAAACTTGTAAACACTATTAAAAAAAAAGTTTTATTTCAATCCTTATTTCAAACTCTATCTGCAGTTTCTCATCCATCATCACTATGTTTTGCACTGTCACAAACATATATCACAGCAAAGAGCCAAAACAGTCGATGAAGCATCTGTGTATATGTGTGGTCTAACTGTTTCTCTTAGCTTGATATGAATCGTAACATTTGGGAAAGATGATCGCTAAGACAAACTGCATTCTTCATCCATTCTAAACTTCCCTCAGTGTTGTGATGTCAGGAAATTAAATTTGTTGACATGTAGATTTGTTCCCAGTGATACCATTGACTTTATATAGTGACTGTTGTAAACATTACTGTTGCTGCAGAGTTATTTTTAAAATATTCACCTCTAATTCTGTTCTTAATTCAGTCTTTTTTTAAATAATATTCAAATGACTGTTTAGTAATTAAAAAGACCAGCTAAGAGTATTGACAGAGAAACAAACTGATAAGTAGTAGGCCTATTGATAAGCCTATTATGGTCTCAACTCAGACTCAACTGGACCTGGTCTTGGAACTTGGACTCAGTTGAGTTGGTCTTGACAACAGCACTGAGAAACAGATATCATACATTTCTATTAACAAACCACCATAGATAAGGGCCCTGTTAACTCACCCGAAGGATTCTTTTTCCCTGGTAGCCGGCTTTCGAATCAAAAAGAAAACATACTTGAAGCAGTCTCACAGTCTCTGTCATTTCCTGTCCTTTCTCAAAAAAAAGCCAGGAAGTAAAAGCAAAAGTTAATGAATCTCCCTCCATCACATGCCATATCTGATCAAATGATGATCCTGTTCCTCTTTCTCGCGCTCCTTATAAGAAGGAACTTTGACCGCTGTCACACAAGTGAGTGTGAGGTGATAAGCAATGGGACGTGGATGCAGACACCTGAGCAGACACGAACAGTTAATGATAAAATGAGGGTAAATGGGAGGGAACTGAGAATCTGAAGATGAGCAGGAAAGGGGCAGGTAGGAGGCAACAAAGACATTCTGGCGAGCAGCTGTCTGGGGAATGTTAATACTGCAGACTGGATGAGGGAAAGCAGAAACAGGTGGGCAGGTGACAGAAATGTTGGGGAAGAGGAACTTGGTCGCAAACCCCAGGGTGGGGGAGCCCTACTGTGCAGAGTTTGCATGTTCTCCCTGTGTCAGCGTGGGTTTCCTCCAGTTACTCCAGCTTCCTCCCACAGTCCAAAGACATGCAGGTTAATTAGTGACTCTAAATTGTCCGTAGGTGTGAATGTGAGTGTGAATGGTTGTCTGTTTCTATGTGTCAGCCCTGTGATAGTCTGGTGACCTGTCCAGGGTGAACTCCGCCTCTCGCCCAATGTCAGATGGGATAGGCTCCAGCCCACCCCTGCGACCCCCAACAGGATAAGCAGTTATGGAAAATAACAGCTAAAATGCCAAACTCTAGGCTTCAAAATGGAGTCCACATCCATTATTTTTACACTATATGTTCTGAAGAGGAGAGGACCAAAGACAGAACCCTGTGGAACTCCATATTAGATACACTGTTTACTGGTTCATTGTCACACAGATAAGGTTTGAACCACTGTAGAGTTGTGTTAACACTGTGTTTAACATATTTTTTTCTTTAACACTCTGTGGAATAATTACGACTAGGACTGTCAAAATAACGCATTCATTTTGATTAATTAATCTAATAAAAAATAACGTTAAAAATTTGACCCGGTGTGTCACTGAAGGCCACAGTGTCTTTGTCACCTGATGGAGGCAGATGAGACGACGCTGCTCGGCCCTGTGAATGGAACGTTTACATTTAAAAAACACCCAGATCGAACTGTTGATAGGAGCACTGTCCTCTGCAGTTTCTGCAGTAAAGAATTTTTGTACCAGCGGAAACTTCAAGCGTAAAATATCACCTCAACACAAAGCATTTAGCAGGGAACCCGGATGTCCGAGCTAGTATGGTCTCTGACACCAGCCTCATCGAGCCACACTCGACCAGGTGTTCAGATGCAAACTGAGTAATTCTACTTGTGACCGACAAACTAACTCCCTTGATAAATGGACTGCAGACTAGTTTGGGTGGTGGACAGGGGGACAACTGTGTCCAAAATCCAGCAGCTTTACTATGACACATCTGCCAAAATACATTTGAATTGAACATTTTTAAAGACTTTCAAAATAAAAGTTGATGTATGTTGTATTTAGATTAATTAAAAACAGAGTATGTAATTAATTGGTTTTTTTTTTTTTCGCTTGACAACCTTAATTACAACGGAAACCAAATTGTAATGGTTGAAAATATTTATTCTGATTTAAATACTTTATTAACTGCTGATTTGCCTGTTTTTTTTTCTCTTTAACCAAACTGTTGTTGAATACAGGTAGAAGACTAAATGGCCTGTAGTTTGATGCCCGTCAGCTGCTCCAGATTTTCAAGAAATTGTTTAAATCTTATTTCCATCCATTGGAATAAGTCTGAGATGAGTTATTATTGTATCTCTCACAGTTTTAATATCAGATTGATCTTTATGATTGATGGAAATAACCAAGACACAACTAATAATGTTTACGTTGTAAGTAGTCTTTATTTGCAGAAAGATGAGGCCATACTATGCATTTATTGGTTTTTAGTGTAACAACTTAAACGGCATAAAATCAACTAAACAGCCAGTGAACAAAGAATATCTGTAACAAGATGCATGTTTGGATTGGAACAGATGATCTAAAGTCCCCATAAATTATGTTGGAAGCCACACATAAATTACATTAAAGCAAAAAAATATCAAAGTCAACTGCAATATTATATAAAGTCAAAGATATCCTAAATCAGCCATCACTATACACCTTGTACTGTTCCTTCTAGTGATGGCTGATTTAGGAGATCTTTGACTTTATATAATATTGCAGTTGACTTTGATATTTTTTGCTTTAGTGTAATTTATGTGTGGCTTCCAACATAATTTATTGTCTATTATTAAGTCAAATTGGATTTCAGACACTTTTTCGATTTGTACATCATTTATCATGAGTTTCCCAAATATTATAAATTTTGTATTGCTTAAATTTAGTGTTAGTTTATTTGAATCAAACCAACTCTTCAGTTTCTTCAATTCATTTCCCACTTTATACAAAAGTTGTTTCAAGTTATCCCCACAGCAGAGTAAATTTGTATCATCCACAAATAAAATTGTTTTTAGTGCTCTGGAAACCTCACATATATTATTAATGTACAAAATAAACAGCAATGGTGCCAACACAGAGCGTTGGGGAACCCCACACTTAACCTTCAGTAGTTGTGATTTAACATGATTAATTTGCACATATTGACTCCTATTCTCTAGGTAACTGGTTAGCCAAGAAAGTATTACTCCTCTGGTTGCATATTTTTGAAGTTTCATTAATAGTAAGTATTCTCTCCTATTCAACTGCGCCTCTCCATAGCGGCTACGGAACCGAACCAAATAACCAAAAACACCTGATGAGTAGGAAAAGAGGTCACCTTTTAACGTCAGCTAACTGTTATCAAAAACTAACTCAGCTTACATGGTTTGATATAAAGAACGAGTGCAGGGTTTTCTGCCTCTGCTGCCTTGTTTGCTTTACATTTTTGTTCAAACACACAGTACATCCTCCCCACTCTGTGCTTAGAGAGGCAACAGAGGGAGCATGGCTCTCTGCTGTGATAACAAAAGAAGCAACAAGTGCGCACCTTGACCCTCCACTTACAGTGCATCCAGGACAACTTGGAAGAACAAGCTCTGACTTGTTAAAATTAATTGAACGGCTGTCAAACTCTATTTACAGTACGGAAAAGTGCAGGGGACATATGGGACAGATACAGCCACTGTGGGGGACATGTACCCCATGTCCACTACGCCCATGGATTGAACAATCTGGTCAGCAATGAAAGTTTCTCAGGAGGAGATTGTCCCTCCTACAGAGAACACAGAGACACTGAGGAATCACACCAACCAATCTTGAACCTGAGTCCAAACCCTGGATACAGAGGTTCAGTGAATGTGGTGTTGAAGGTGTGGAGGTGGATCAGTGTGTCAGAGGATACTCTGTAGAAAGACAGAGTGCCAGCAGGACAGTCCACGAACACTGCTACTTTTTGATTGACTAAGGGGACTTGGGGATTGGGGGAGAAGGGGATGGAGTTGGGGAGGGATATTTCTCTGTCACTGTGCCAGACAGAATAACCACTACCAGAATAGCGCAGCTTCCAGGACTGTTTATTCTCTCCAAACACACAGTCTTTACCATATCCGCTCCGTCTGATTCCTCTGTAACTCACTGCTACATCCACCACTCCTCTACACTCCACCTCCCAGTAACAGCGACCAGTCAGACTGTCTCTACACAGCAGCTGAGGTGAGTGGTCAAATCTGTCTGGATGATCAGGATATGGCTGATCCTCTCTCACGTGTGTCACTGCCCTGTTGTTGTCCAACAGTTGGATCCTTTTGTTCACTGTGTTTGTGTTGAGTGTGAGTTCACAGGAGTCTGATGGAGAGAATGAGACACAATACGGCTACAGTTATTAATCTATCATCTCTTCATTTATAGACGCTGAGATAATGACTCATGACATCACCGATCCAAACTCTGCAGTGGCAAAGTTAATTGAAAACAAAATTTTTGGTTCTTGAAAGCTGTATTTGGCAGGAAGAGTCTAAGGATCTGCTTTGTGTCTGCATATTTTGATGGAACCTCACATACGTGAAATTGTAAGTGAGAACTGACCTTAACATTCAAAAGGCGCATCAGGCATTTGGGCTGAAGACTGGACAGAACGAAAGACCTAGGTTAAATGTAGTTTGTAGTATTGTTTCAAAGCTACAGAAGGCACAGTACTTCTTGCTGCCTGGCTTGAAGACATTCAGGTGATTGACCAAAATGTTTATTTTTATGATGATTTTATGACCCATGTGTTTAAGAAACGTACATAGTACAAGGAAGAAATAGAATCAGACTGCAAATATTCAGGAAGGAAGGATATCATCATTCTCCCATCTAGTGGGATTGCAGACACCATCAACACAGGAGCTGGTTGCCGCTGCAGCAGTCAAAAATGTGTTTAACAAAAAATTAAATTAGCGAAAATTAATTCCTTGGAAACACTAATGATCCTTACAGTAAGCCATTAATGACAGGAAAAAATAGCATCATGCTATTCACATGACATGAAAGCCCCTTACCTGACCATCAGCTGAACGTCCGTCATGGGTGTTCTAATGGCATTGAGATTTGTTGTTGCCAGAAATGGGCCTATTCAGCTTTTCTGCTAAAGTTTATGTACAAAGTGTGCATTCAGCAGCTTTATACACCCTATATGTTTATATAAAACAATATTAAACCATGAGTTAGGTGGACTGCACCAGTAACTGTCAGATAATTACACCAGTTGTGGACTGTATTATAAAGTCTAACTTTTAGGTCCTGCTTTGTAAAGCACTGCACCTGGGAACGTGCATATTAGGAGGGAGGACATGACGTTCATGATGGAATGGTCAGCCCACAGCGCTCTTTTCTACTTTGTGTCAATCCATCTCAGATGAGCTCGGGCTCAGAGAAGTCAGCGGCGTTTCTGAAAGTTGTTGATATGTGGCTTTCACTTTGCATGGTAGAGTCTGAACTGTCATTTGTACATGCAGGGCATTGGTTTTCTGAAGTGTACAAATGACAGTTCAGACTCTACCATGCAAAGTGATGGAAAATATAAAGATTGGATACAAAATGTCATCACTTCATTATAATATTCTCATAGACATTTGTGTGAAATTTTGTCAAAATAAGCGTGTTTTTTGAGGTCACACTGACTTTGACCTTCGACCACCAAACTCGATTCATTTCATTCTCGAGTCCAAGTAGATGTTTGTGCCAAATTTGAAGAATTTCTTCTTGAGATGTTTTTGAGATATCATGTTCACAAGAATGTGACAGACAAGGTCACAATGACCTTGACCTTTGAACATCAAATTCTCATCTGTTCATCCTTGATTCAAAGTAGATGTTTGTGCCAAATTTGAAAAAAAAAAAAAAATCCCTCTGGGCATTCTTCAGATACCGCCTTAACAAGAATGAGACAGATGAGGACACAACAATGAATGAATTTTTAAGTTATTGCCAACAACATATTTTGTGAGGTCACACTGACCTTGACCCTTGATCTTCAACCACAAAATTCTAATCAGTTTATTCTCCATTCCAAGTGGACACTTGTGTCAAATTTAAAGAAATTGAGATGGATGCAAGGTCATGGCGACCTTGACCTTTGACCACCAAAATCTTATTGGTTCATCCTCGAGCCAAAGTCAATGTTTGTACCAAATTTGAACAAATTACCTGAAGGCAGTCTTGAGATATTATGTTCACAAGAATAAGGTATACAGAGTCACAGTGACCTTTACCTTTGACCTATGACACTAAAAATCATTTATATTATTCCTTGAATCCAAGTGGACATTTGTGCCAAATTTGAAGAAATTCCCTCACACCATTCTTGAAATATCACGTTCACACACAACTTGAAAACATTATGTCTCTGGTCTGCGTACTTTGCGGCCATTCGGTCTTCGTTTTGATGTAGGTGAACAAAAAACAGGAAACGAGTCAACTGCCGTTTCTCATTTGGAAATTGGAAATCCAAAAATTGGAAAACAAGCCTTTATCTGATTTTCTATTAGGTGTTTATTAAACACAAGTTGGGAAATAAAATACAACCATAATCCTTGTAATCAAGCTTGCTTTGCCTTGACCCGGAAAACCTTCTTCTTCTTCTTCGTTTGAAATGGCAGACTAGACAACAGTGCATTGCTGCTAACATTAATTAACGTTAGCTAACATAACTTACACGGGCGTGCTCTCCTTGAGGCTCTTCACTGCCTATTACGCACTGCCCAACACTTTGTTTTTACATCAAAACGAAAAAAGGAAATCGGATCATTTCCCGTTTTTTGTTTACCAACTTCAAAAACGAAAAAGAAATGGCTGTAAAGTACAGGGACCGTCTCTGCCTCTGCACGGCAGTATAAAAAGTAAATGCACTCCATCTTCACTAGGATTTAAATGAGTGATGTCACAGTTTGAAGATGGTTTAATGTGTGCTGCTTTGACTGCATGAATCAAATTCAAAACACACTTACACTTCCTCAGACCTGGTCTCAACCACTGGACTCCACCAGGCTCCACCCTGAAAGGAGGAGGGGGTCAGAGCAGCACATCATCTATCAGCAGCACATCATCTATCAGCTACCATGCTGATAGATGATGTGGACATGACTTTGCTCTCATGCACACAGTTCAGTCTCTACAACCTGGTACATACACATGTGGCCCACAATACACACAGACATACACTATAAACACATAGTCTGTTTTATCTGTTCTGGTATTTTCTTCCTGAAACTGTTTTACACATTTTGTTCTTTAGTTGTTTGAATTGAAAAGTTGAACCAGGTATGAAGGCTGCAAATCAGCTTCAGCTACACAGTCTGTATATATGACATCTGTTGCATTGGTTTTTTCTTTTGTTATAATGATTATCTGTTTTGCAGGCAGAGCCTGAACACTCGGTTGAGCTCTCGCCCATATATCTGGCAGAGGTTACTGAGGTAGTCAGTAAGGTCTGGTATGGTGCTTGCAGAGTGGCAGACCAGGGTGGTGGTTCCCATTTTCCTCGCAGGGCCACTGGAGGGGTCACAGGAGTCTGCCCATCCAGTCTACATGTATTTTGTGGATTTGGAGAAGGCTTACAACCACGTCCCTCAGGGTAAGTCTTGTGGGTGGAAAGAACTGCTGGGGAGCGTTATGTCTAGGGTGCTTTGCTTGGCCTGCTGCCCCGTGATCCGGCCCAGGATAAGGGGATGAAAATGGGTGGATGGATGTATTGTCTATGTGAAATAAACAACTTATAAATAATTATTTTCATACCAGGGACGGTTCTTCCTACTGACTGACAACTAGTTATTTTATCATTAACATCAGAATTATAAACTGCTTTGCTTTTATTTGTCATTCAAGTCTAATATTTCAACCACTGACAAGTTGTTTCAGTTTGATGAGTCAGCTTTTATCAGCTCTGGTTGTTCTGAGGTGTTTCAGGGTCATATGAACCAGGCTGACAGTGTAATAGAAAAAAAGTTTCTACCTCCTCTATCAGATTAACCGTCTATGGCTGCAGCAGGCCTCGTCATACCAAGGGGTGTAAATCCCTAGTTTTATCACGATATGATATGATATGATATTGATTCTTTGGATAATGATATCATGCTGATATCACAAAGTCTGCCACAACACAATTTTTATTCAATTCGATTCAGGAGCCTGCCATCAATATAAGATGATATCAGTCACTATCCTCATTGTCTTTTTCTTGGTTGCTTGCTCTTACCTGCCTGGCACTAGGCCTCTAGCACTGTTTAAATGTTTAGGAAGGAGGCCAGCTTGGATGGAAATGGTGACATAGACATGCCATTTATTTCAAAATACAGACATATCTTAAAGATGATGATGATGTGTACTGATGTTTTCCCTTTTTATATTGGCTCATTCATTATTGAATTGATATATCAATCTACATTGATGTATTGTTACACCCCATTAATACCTGAGAGTTTCCAGTCTCCAGTGTGGATCCTCCCGTCCAGCAGACAACAGCTTGACTCCTGAGTCTCCTGGATGATTGTAGCTCAGGTCCAGCTCTCTCAGATGGGAGGGGTTGGACTTTAAAGCTGAGGCCAGAGAGACACAGCCTTCCTCTGTGATCAGACAGCCTGACAGCCTGCAAACACAAAACAAAACACATGTCACACAATCTGAAGGGAACTGTGAGGACTGAAGGGTTTTTATAACTGTATCTATGGAAAGCTTATTGGGTCATTATTTGTGTCCCTTTCCCTGCTATTTGATGTTTTATATCCCTTTTGATATAGTTTTAAATCACCAGATGACATTTACAAATGCCATTGCAAACAGCAGCTGGCAGCGCTCCATACATCTGCATGTGTGACCCCTGCTGCTAACCGCCATTTATTCTTGCTGTGTTTATCTGGGTAACTACAACACCAGTGTGCAGCTGTTTATGCTACGGAAGTGCAAAGAAATAAAGTTGCCTTTTTTTTTTAAATAAACAACTGTGATGAACAAACATAATATTCTATAGATGCCTGATGACCCTTTGTATTCACTAAAGTGAGATTTTAAAAAAGTCTTATTTTACCAAAATAAATAAATAAAATGACATTACCTTACATTTCTTTAGTGTTAACAATCACACTGGCAATGCAGTCTCTGTTCAGAATGGCATTCGGATATACACAGCAAGGAAAAAATGTCAGTCAGCAGCAGAGGTCCTAGCGTTCCCTCTGCTGACCATAGCGTGCAGGCCAATTGAACGGCGTTCGCAAATAGCAGCTGCCATTTTAAACCCATTTATAAACGCCAGGTGGCAATATACAACTATGTTAAAAGAGGTACATAACACTGAGTCAGCTATTCATAGCCATCACCTATGGCAATGTGCCAAATAAGGGCTGTATGTTGTAGAAATAAACATAAAAACTGACAATAGTTCCAAATCAAACAGTCACTAGTTCACTAGTTTTAAAGTGTGGATAAAGCTAAACTAATACATGTAATGAGTTTGTCCCACTGCAGAAAAATGTGTAATTGAGCACCCAGAGTAATTTAAAAAGTTGCCAAGTATATAAAATTATGTTTCAAAATTATGATAAAATAGGTAGTATTTTCTGCTCTGAGATGCTGGTGGCATGTCTGCTGAATGTGCTGAAGCCACACCCACTCGGTAAGCTGCAGCCTCTTTTGTTTGTAGCAGGGTGTTCCATCTGGCAGTTTTATTGGACTTGTACAGCCAGACATGTTTAAGCCACCAGAGCCAGAATCAAATTCTGACCTGCTATATTATTATAACTATATTTCTCAGTCTGCAACAGAATGAGGTAATTTAATTTATTTTATCAAACAACAACAAAACTTAACAGCTCCAGTTCTCATATACAGTAGGGGATGGGGCTTATGCCAAAGGATGCTCCACTGAGTCATCAAGAACGCTTTTCTCCCCAGCTAAAAAATACAGATACAGAAAAACTGTTTAATAGTCGAACTCCACAGTTCAGTGCTATGTAGTTTCCAGTCTTTTCACATGTTTTCAACAAGTGTTTTCTAACATATTTACAGTGGCATGCAAAAGTTTGGGCACCCCTGGTTAAAATTGCATTTACTGTGAATAGTTAGCAAGTAGAAGACGAACTGATCTCCAAAATGCTTGAAGTTAACAATGAAACAAACTTTTCAACATTTCAAGCAAGATCAGTGTATTATTTTTGTTTTGTACTATTTTAGATTGAGGAAAAGGAACACCGTGGAAAAGTTTGGGCACCCCAGGACATTAGAGCTGTCAGACAACTTTTACCAGGGTCTCAGACCTTAATTAGGTTGTTAGTGCTCTGGCTTGTCATCGTTAGGAAAGGCTAGGTGATACAAATTTCAAAGATTTATGAATACTCTGACTCCTGAAACCTTGTCCCAACAATCAGCAGCCATGGGCTCCTCTAAACAGCTGCCTAGCACTGTCAGAAGAAGATAGCAAAGTTCTTTCAGGTAGCTGTTTCCTCAGTTCGTAATGTCATTAAGAAATGGCAGTTAACAGGAACTGTGGAGGTCAAGTTGAGGTCTGGAAGACCAAGAAAACTTTCTGGGAGAGCTACTTGTAGGATTGTTAGAAAGGCAAATTCAGAACCCCCGTTTGACTGCAAAAGACCTGCAGGAAGATTTATCAGACTCTGGAGTGATGGTGCACTGTTCTACCGTGCAGCCACACCTGTACAAATATGAGCTTCACGGAAGAGTTATCAGAAGAAAACCTTTCCTGTGTCATCACCACAAAATTCAGTGTCAGAAGTTTGCAGAGGAACGTCTAAACAAGCCTGATGCTTTTTGGAAACAAGTCCTGTGGACTGATGAAGGTAAAATAGAACTTTTTGGACACAATGAGCAATGGTATGTCTGGAGAAAAAAGGGACTCCTGTCCAACAGTTCAACACGGGGGTGGATGGATCATGCTTTGGGCTTGTGTTGCAGCCAGTGGCACGGGGAACATTTCACAGGTAGAGGGAAGAATGGATTCAGTTAAATTCCAGCAAATTCTGGAAGCAAACATCACTTCATCTGTAAAAAAGCTGAAGATGAAGAGAGGATGGCTTCTACAACAGGACAATGATCCTAAACACACCTCCAAATCCACAATGGACTACATCGAGAGGAGGAGGTTGAAGGTTTTGTCATGGCCCTCACAGTCCCCCGACCTAAACATCATTAAAAATCTGTGGATAGACCTCAAAGAGCAGAGCATGAAGACGGCCCAAGAATCTCACAAAGCTAGAAGCCTTTTGCTGGAAGAATCCAAATCCTCCAAACAAGAACTGAAAGACTGACCATGCAGGGTGCCCAAACTTTTGCTTCAGGCCTTTTTCTTTTTTTGTTACTTTGAAAATGTAAAAAAAATGAAATTAAAAAGAAATCATGCTTAAAGGGATAGTGCACCCAAAAATGAAAATTCAGCCATTATCTACTCACCCATATGCCGAGGGAGGCTCAGGTGAAGTTTTAGCAACACAACTCCACCTAATGGAGGCTGACGGCGCCCCAGATTCAAACATCCAAAAACACATAATTGAAACCACAAAATATCTCCATACTGCTCGTCCGTAGTGATCCAAGTGTCCTGAAGCCCCGACATAAAAAGTTGTTTGGAAAAACGTCATTTAAACTCTGTTTTTAGCCTCATTGTAGCCTGTAGCTCTAACTGCCTCTCTGTGCACCGAATTCACGTATGGAGATATTTTGTGGTTTCAATTATGTGTTTTTGGACGTTTGAATCTGGGGCGCCATCAGCCTCCATTAGGTGGAGTTGTGTTGCTACCTCCTCTCCCCTTGGATCTCCGGAAGTGTTGTGAGGACTCTAAAATTTCACCTGAGCCTCCCTCGGCATATGGGTGAGTAGATAATGGCTGAATTTTCATTTTTGGGTGCACTATCCCTTTGAAAATATTGAGGAAATGTGTCATCATCAACGTCATGCCTTTTGGAGATCAGGTCATCTTCTACAAACTTAACTGCTCACAGTAAACAAAATTTTCACCAGGGGTGCCAAAACTTTTGCATGCCACTGTAATGTGTTAAGATGTAAATCTCACATTTTACTACAACCCGGCTTTAATGATCATCCAGAGTGAGGAGATGTTTGGAAAACAACAAGAATTAAATGGTGATTAACCACATAATAGCTGGAGTGGTGGTGAGTAAAAATCACAATGACACCAGTAGAAATACTGCTCTGAAATTACAAAACTTACTGTTCCTCTCTTTGTTATATAAGGTTTCAGCCACAGAGGAACAACCTAACTAATGTAAACAATGTTGATGGAAAGTTATTCACGTGTCTAAAATCGGATCAAACACACTTGATTCTAAAATAATGTGAGTAACCTAGAAAACCTAAAGGAGTACATTTGTGTAAATAAGACTTTAAATGATCACCATTGAAACCAGTTGATGAATTCTGACCTGAGAGTTTCCAGTGCACAGTGCAGACTCTCCAGTCCACCAGACAGAAGCTTCACTCCTGAGTCCTGCAGGTTGTTGTCACTCAGGTCCAGCTCTCTCAGACTGGAGGACTGGGAGCTAAGAACTGGGGACAGAGCTTCACAGCTTCTCTCTGAGAGGTTACAGCCATTCAATCTAAAGAGACAATAATGAACAAGGAAAAAAAGTATTTGTGTTCAAATTTAATTTTGTAGAGTGAAATAATTGTATCCATGCAGATGGACACAGTCTCATTTTCTTGAGATAACTAAAGGTTTTCCCCAAGATTCCATTCTGGGACTCATTTTGATCTGTTTTTATAAACGATTTGGGTAAGGACATTCAGCCAAAAATAGACCTATATGCTGATGACATTGTCATTTATACACAGGATTATGTTCAGGCTCAGGTCCAGTTCTTTCAGACTACAGGACTAGGAGCTGAGAACTGAGGACAGAGTTCCACAGCTTCTCTCTGAGAGGTTACAGCCACTTTGTGGAAAGACAATAATGATCAGGGTGACAAATAACATTTGTGTTAAAATGACATCACACCTGATAAGATATATACGAGGCTCGTATCCAATGCAAGGGCATGAGAATCCTACTGGATGAAACCCGCCCTGCCAACCCCCTCCTAAAGGTCCTCCCATCAGGTAGAAGATTAAGTGCTATCAAAACTAAGACCTCTCACTTTCTGAATAGTACATACAGTAATGTCATCAAATTCCAATTACAGCTCTTCATCCCTGCACCAATATCTTATGGTAGTAGGAAACTCCCCCACAGGACTTGAATAATCTGCTCTCTGTTTTTTTTATCATTGTATTTTTATATGGTATTTATGCTTATTCTTTTTATACTATTGCACATCAGAGTCAACCTGCTAGATATTGCACTTTATGAGAATTTGCACTTAAAATCTGCACTAGTCACTTTAGACTTTAGCCTCCTGGACTAACATCCAGGTTCAAAACATGTCAAGGCATATGAGGTATGACCTGTTCTCATGACAAATGTGACCCTGTGTAAGCCATGAAGAATGTCCTATGTATGCTATTCCTGTTTTTATTTGTTTTCGGGTTTGTTGTTTTGTCTTGTGGTTGTCCTACTATGTGGAGTGCACTGCAGCAAATCCCTAATGACTTGTGCAAGTTGTATGGGAAAGAAGTATTGAATCTTGAATATGATATGGAAGGAAAATACCAGACATGTACATTCCATGATTGTAATGGGTGACACGGAAGCTTGTTTGTCTCCATGGATTCAACCATGGAATGATACATGGAGAATATTATCCCCTCGTGTCTCTCTTTTCTTCTCTCACTTTGAACTGTGACCTCTTTATCTCTTTATTTTCTGTTTTGATCACATACACATACTGCTCCCCCATGACCCAGCCTCAAATAAGCAGATGAAAATGAAATGGGAAAAAAAACAACAGCGTTTCAGCCCCTCGAGCTAAAACCCCTAATGATGAGGTAAAAGCTTTCCCCTTACTTAACACCAACAGTTCTGTGATCTGACCTGAGAGTTTCCAGTGTACAGAGTGGATTCTTCCATCCACCAGACAGCAGCTTTAATCCTGTATCCTGCAGGTTGTTGTTACTCAGGTCCAGCTCTCTCAGACTAGAGGACTGGGAGCTGAGAACTGTGGACAGAGCTTCACAGCTTCTCTTTGAAAGATGACAGCCACTCAGTCTGAAGAGACAATGAGGAAAGAAATGTATTTATTTTTCACTATTCTTTAGAAGAGATCAGTGTACTATTTATAATTTATTAATTATATATGTATTAATTATTATAATTATTATTTCAATAATTCCACTCTCTCTGTACTTACAGAGCTTTGTTGGAATCTTTGACCACTGGCAGCAGCCTCAGCAGAGCATCCTCTGAAGCAGAGTATTTCTTCAGGTCAAACACATCCAGATCTTCCTCTGATGACAGTAAGATGAAGACCAGAGCTGACCATTGAGCAGAAGAGAGATCGCCTGTGGAGAGACTTCCTGATCTCAGGTACCATTGGATCTGCTTCACCAGAGAATTATCATTCAGTTCATTCAGACAATGGAACAGATTGATGCTTTTTTCTGCAGAGAGACTTCCCTCAATCTTCTTCTTGATGTACTGGACTGTTTCCTGTCTGGACTGAGAGCTACTTCCCGACTGTGTCAACAGGCCTCGTAGTAAATTCTGGTTGGTCTGCAGTGAAAGACCCAGGAGGAAGCAAAGGAACAAGTCCAGGTGTCCATTTGGACTCTCTAAGGCCTTGTCCACAGCACTCTGGTGGAGATATTTCACATCCCTTCTATCTTTTGATAATTTAGACCACCAGTAGGTTGTTTGTTCTTCTGCCATCAGATTGACTCCAGAGTTGATGAAGGTCAGATGGACATGAAGAGCAGCCAGAAACTCCTGAACTCTCAGATGGACGAAGCAGAACATCTTGTCCTGGTACAGTCCTCTCTCCTCTTTAAAGATCTGTGTGAACACTCCTGAGTACACTGAGGCTGCTCTGATATCAATGCCACACTCTGTCAGGTCTGACTCATAGAAGATGAGATTGCCTTTCTGCAGCTGCCCAAAAGCCAGTTTTCCCAGAGACTCAAACATCTTCCTGTTGTCTGGACTCCAGTGTGGATCTGTCTCAGATCCTCCATCATACTTGATGTTCTTCAGTTTGGACTGAACCACCAGGAAGTAGATGTACAGCTCAGTGAGGGTCTTGGGCAGCTCTCCTTCCTCTCTGGTCTTCATCACATCCTCCAGAACTGTAGCAGTGATCCAGCAGAAGACTGGGATGTGGCACATGATGTGGAGGCTTCGTGATGTCTTGATGTGGGAGATGATTCTGCCGACCTGCTTCCTCTTTCTGAATCTCTTCCTGAAGTACTCTTCCTTCTGTGGGTCAGTGAACCCTCTGACCTCTGTCACCATGTCAACACAGTCAGGAGGGATCTGATTGGCTGCTGCAGGTCGTGTGGTTATCCAGAGGCGAGCAGAGGGAAGCAGTTTCCCCCTGATGAGGTTTGTCAGCAGCACATCCACTGAGGTGGACTCTGTAACATCAGTCAGGATCTCATTGTTGTGGAAGTCCAGAGGAAGTCGACACTCATCCAGACCGTCAAAGATGAACACAACCTGGAACTCTTCAAACCTGCAGATTCCTGCTTCTTTGGTTTCAGTAAAGAAGTGATGAACAAGTTCCACCAAGCTGTACTTTTTCTCTTTCAGCACATT